GAGTTTTGGTGATTTTCCCAAAATTGGCCACGAGGCGCAGCAAGTTGCGGGACTAGGTGACTTGCACCATATAACTATCATATTTGCGGATCCTGGTGTTACACATCAAAAATCCCTTTAAACTTTTATGTTACATCAGATGATTTTAAGGGAAGTGAATATTCGAATACAGTCACTATTTGGGTAGTAGTAGGCTTTCTTCGCGTCATTATTTCGCGAATTCAAAATATTTTTGGGTCGCGGTATTGTTCTCGATTAGAAATAGAAATTTCTTCTATTTCCATTATTTGTATTAATAATAGCAGAATTAGTAGTGTGTCACCCGACAAATAAAAATAAATCCATCATCATTATCATCTTTATTCAGTAAATTTGAATACTTTGAACATATTTATTCCTTTCTTTACTGAAGGTTATTTTTCTTTCAATTAAATAAAGCTTCCTTTTTTGAAGTGAAGAGCTAAAACCAAAGTCAAATAGAGATCTTTTTTTTTTGACAAAAAAAATAATATAAAATAAAATTTGGTAATTTTAGAACGTGATTCACTTCTTGTTAAAATCTCTCGTACAACCTATACAGATAAATAATCATATTGTTTCCACAAAAAAAAATAAATTGTTTTTCCAAAAAAAAACCCCCCAATTTGCGTCTGTCCCAAAAAAATCTTTGCACAACACCAAGTGCCAGTTTGTTTTTTCTTTTTTAAAAATAAAAAAACAAAAACGTCTGATCAAACAGAAAAAGAAAAAAAGACGATTGGCAGGAAACTGCTGAGCAAGTGTTTATCATGAGGATGGTGGTGGTTATCGCCACTCGTCGTCACTCTAGTTTTAGAAAAAGAATAGATGGTTGTAGTTATTGTCATTCTAGTCGTGCTAATAAATATTTTTTACATTCTTAGTAATACTGTTACTATCTATGATGAGGATGCCTTTGATTTATCAAGTTATGCTTCTGATGAAGAGTTGGAAACGAACGCAAGACTATCTATTGAAAATTATGGTGAAAAATGGGTTGTTGGCAGGGTTGGAAAATGTGCGGTCCATTAATGGTCTATTGGTGGCCATTGGGTCCATTAGCGTAACACTTTAGCCATAATTAGTATTTTATGGACCAGTCAATTTGCCAACCCTGGTTGTTGGTGATTCTGGAAAAAAATGATCAAAAATAAAAATTTTTCTTATTTTTTTAAGAATAAGTCAGATAAAAAAAAATGTTTCGAAATATCGATGTTGCTTATATTTATTTTCTATTTTTTCTGTTTTTTTGTTGCAAATTCGTACTGTTGCTTACGTTGCTTATATTCCAGACAATACGGTAAATATTTTTTTTAATATATTGTTATTAAAAGCAAAGTTACTGAAATAAGTAAATAAGTATCAAATGAATCAAATGAATGAATAAACAAATGAATTATACAGCACTAATTAATAATAAAAATCATCTTACCATGCCAATAATTATTTTGCAAACTATTAAATAGTTAGTTTGCGGTTCACAACTAGTTATAGAGCTTCGCAATTCAAAAGGTTTCACCACAAGTCAAAACTAGTTTGACATATAACTTTTAATTTTAGTATTGACTTTTTTGCCTCTTCAAAATAGTTTTTGGCAACCAATGCTAATCACAACCAAGGTTTCTGGTCCAAACTATTTTCGAAAAAAAAAGAAAATTTAAATTACAATAGGTTGTTGATTTATGTAATTTTTTCATGCTCATTCATTCTTATAAAAATATCAGCCAAAAATTAAATTTTGCCCAGTATTTCAATAAGAAAGATATCTCAATGTTAATGGTTTTAATTCATTGTAAATTATGCAACGGACCAAAGCTCTTTATATTCTACCAATAGTCATTTAACTGATATTCAAAAGCTTGAATAAATTGTTTATTGACATCTTTAATGTATTTGAATATTTTAGTAAATTTATTATGAAAAAAAAGTTTTTTGTACAATTTATATATTTATATTATTATAATTTTAAAATCCCAAGCTTTGATGAATTTACTAATTCTATTTTGAAAGGTTTAATAAAATAACATCATGAAAACATTTATTATTAATTCTTTAATATACCATATGCCAGTTGACTCACATCCTCCTTTGCACTATGTCTTGTGGCATAAACCATTCCAGTGAACATATAATGGTTTACCGATAATTTAGCATAATAGCCACCATCAGCCAACCTATGATAGTCATATTCCGGTTTTCTCCAACGTCTCTTGGTTGCTAGCTCATGGATCAATGAAACGAATGTCTTGTCTACACGTAATATTGGTTTATGTGGCTCGTAACGTTGTTGTAGCCTTGCTGATCTTTCAACCGATGGTTTATACGGTTTGTAACGTTGTTGTGATCTTTCAAATGTTGGTTTAGTAATGGTGACAGTGACAGGAGGCTTACTAGTCTTATTATGACCATCCTCACTGAACATTGATGGATACAGTTGCGCTAGTGTTTTTGATGTTGTATATGTTATTTTTTCTACTTCATCATCACTATTATCATTTGGAACCTCTTCTTCAACTGGAACTCCAAGATAATTAGTTATATTTTTATATGATCCATGTGGTGTAATTTTTTCCAATCTTCCATAAAAATAACATTTCCAATTAACCTTTGATAGTCAAGATCCATTTTATCAATCAACTTCTTTTCTTCATATTCTATTTCTTCATAAAGGATCTCAAAAGCAATCATTGCGACATGATCCTTGGCATATTTATATTGAGCTTTATCAAATACTGATGTTGGGTTAAATCTTCTTTTCCCAACATCAACAACAATAAATTTAACGCTAGGATCTTCATCATGAATAGGTAGATTCTTAATTTCTTTGTATGTAACAGCTCCTAGATGGTATTTTTGAACTAGTTCGTGTAATAGAGTACGGGGACATGGTGGAAAATTTGGTTTTAATATTTCATCATACCATTTTTTAACATTTGGTATCATTTCTGTCCAATGTAATCCACTAGCCATTTGTTGAACTCCTTTTCCATATTTTTCTAATCTGGGTTGATATTTTGGCGTGAAAGCTTCAACCATGTATCTTTGAGTTCTTCGCAATTGTTCCGGGTATTTGCGTTGAAGGTAAATCATAGCTTGTTCTGCAACATCCCTTTTAGCGTTGCGTTTCTTCATGTGTTCCTGCCTAGTGCTCCATTTTTGATCATCAAATCTAAGAACACAATTAAATTTTAGTTCTTTGTTTTGAGTAGGTGTGAATCTTGGTTCAGTTTTGTATCTTAGATGTTGCTGGTATAAAGTGGTAATAACAGTCACAGGATTAAAATCGGTTTCATTTGTATTTGCTTGATTACTATTACTATTACTATTACTATTACTATTACCATTACTATTACTATTACTATTACTATTACCATTACCATTACTATTACTATTACCATTACCATTACTATTACCATTACCATTACTATTACTACTACTATTACTACTAACACTACTCATGTTTACTATTATTATTATTATTATTATTTTTTTTTTAGACAAGAAGATCTCCATGATGTTCTTAAAGCATATGCACATTATAATCCATCGATAGGATATTGTCAAGGAATGGGACGTTTAGTTGGCATGATGCTTATGCAAATGCCAGTAGAAGATTCATTTTGGTTACTCGTAGCAACCATAGAAAAATATATGGTTGGATATTTTACACCTAATTTGACTCAAATTAGAATAAATTCCGTTATATTTGAACAACTTTTAATCGAAAATTATCCCAAACTAGCACAACATTTGGTAATATATATATATTTAGAAAATTTATTATCATTATTGATAGCAACGAAATAAAATTAATAATAAATTTTTTTCAAATAGGCTGAAAATGATGTAATTCCACTCATATACGTTACTCAATGGTTTATGACACTATTTACCATGACATTGCCATGGGCATCTGTACTACGTGTCTGGGACATGTTTTATTTTGAGGGTGTGAATTTATTCTATAGAATTGGACTGGCGATAATGGAATGTTCACAAGATTATATTCTTAAAGAATGTCCAACAAGTTCAGAAATCTTGGAGTTTTTATTACATTTCCAATTAACCTTTGATAGTCAAGATCCATTTTATCAATCAACTTCTTTTCTTCATATTCTATTTCTTCATAAAGGATCTCAAAAGCAATCATTGCGACATGATCCTTGGCATATTTATATTGAGCTTTATCAAATACTGATGTTGGGTTAAATCTTCTTTTCCCAACATCAACAACAATAAATTTAACACTAGGATCTTCATCATGAATAGGTAGATTCTTAATTTCTCTGTATGTAACAACTCCTAGATTGTACTTTTGAACCAGTTCATGTAATAGAGTACGGGGACATGGTGGAAAATTTGGTTTTAATATTTCATCATACCATTTTTTAACATTTGGTATCATTTCTGTCCAATGTAAT